CCAGACCTACATCTGGCAAGTACACTCTCAGAGATAATGAAAATTATTTCAGCATTGCAGGATCAGGAACCTCTGACATCTCAGGGCTACCATAAACCATAAATGGAAATGATCACTTTTCAGGTTTCAGGAAAGTAATTTGGGATTAACTTCAACAACTGCTTAATGTGGAGTTAACCATGGGAGATGCATTCAGTAACTTTTTGCTGATTGAACTGTGGCATGAGAGCTTTCATGGTTATCAATTAGACCTCTTTGTTGTTCTCGGTAAATAAAATCAATAGTAAATCAGAAACCTGTATAAAAAATAACATAATTATGAAGTGGAATCTGGAACAGCTCATATCTTTTTCAACTACCATTCCTTCTTCAACATGAAAACTGTCTCAACTCAAAATCTTACAGCATTCACCTTACTTCCATAACACAAATCTAAGTCAAGGCCTGCATATTTTTTTTTTACATTGCTCATAGGAAATACAATAGTGCAGTTCATATGGAGCAAATCATACTGTTTCTTTTTAGCAACTGATTATAACAAAACTACAAAACATTGATAGGTGAAATCCCTCCTCTACCCCTCATCTGATTGGGTCACCTAACAAACTTAGAGAATAAAGTAAAGTAGGCCCAATGCAGCCATTCAATTAGGTCCATACCCACAAACTAGAGTGAAAACACCATCATGAGATCCAATTATGATGGAGGAAGTGCCAAGGCCTATTCATGAAAAAACGTAATCTCAGATTGTTTTACTCTGCAGGCAAATATGCTATTCTGATCCCTCAACTGACTATAGTGCTTCTTTAAATACTCCATGATATATCAACTCCCTCCCTTCTGACCTTCCTTGGAAAGAGGTAAAATAGTCTAAAGCTTACTTTCATTCCCAGCCTTCAATACAATTGTGGATAGGCTAAGAGGTTATTTTTTAAAACTTCGGGGAAATTCTGAATTGCACTCTGGACTCTAATGCTCACACAAACCCATGGACACAAAAATTAAAGTTGTTCTGCAGGTGGGAGAAAACTCTTGAAAATTGGGCCCCCTATGGTCATAATTTCCTCCCTCCCCTCTCCCCTTTGAAGAACCAAAATATTGGGTTGTAACATATATTCCCGCCGTTTTTTTATTGAAAAGTTTTATTGAAAGTTACAGCAATCATAACAACAAATTAGTCAATTATGTATTCTCCGTCATTGTTTACGACCTGCTCCCACCTCTCGACCAATTTATCAATGCCGTTTCGCCAGAAATCGCCGGGCCTGGACTCGAAGAAGTTGTTAAGCCAGTTTTCAAGGTGCTCGTCGTTATCGACGAGCACCTTGAACCCACCAAACGCAATCATGAGCTTTTTGGGATGGAGGTTTTGCTTGACTCTCGGCTTTGGCGTGTCTCCTGGAGCCATCCACTCCTTCCTTTGATTCACGTTCACATAGAGACACCATTTATCATCTCCCGTGACAATTTTGTATAAAAATCGTTTCTTGTGGCCGCGTGTTGCTCGGTGTCGGGCGAGATGTTGAGCAGCAATTTGAAGGCGATTTTCTTTGTTGTTTCCGGTAAGCTCGTGTGGCACCCAAGCTCCAAGTTTTTGAGTAAATGCAATAAGTTTGTAGAGGAAAGAACGCTCTTTCGAATGACTATATCCACTTTGCCAAACTTCAAAAATATGGAGTGAAAACAAACAAAATATAAAAACGGCGGGAATATATGTTACAACCCAATAATATGAGACTACAGCTCCAGCCATCCTACACCGAAAGGCATGCCATGGGATTTACATTGTGCCTGGATTGCATATGTCAAGTTGGATATAACGAAGTTTAACCCTGGCCTATAACCCACAATGATAGCTCGTAGGAAAGTTGGGACAGGATCTAACTTAGAGCCAAGTCTTTGCACATGTAGCCCAATTAATCTTATGCTAACCTTTTTTAAAAAGCTCTTTACTCCCGTCTCTTCAGGGCCTGATCAGAGCCTCTAAGCCCTCAATAAATGACTCACCCGATTTTTAAGTAAGGCCTCCCTGCTCCTCCCAGAGTCGCAACCTTTGCATTAAGGGCCTATGATTTGTTTCTCTCACTTTCTCGAACTATCTCAGCAAGAATGTGTAACCTTAAGCTACCACGTGCTTCTATGGAGTTGTTCATAATATATCGCCGATGTCTGTCAGGGGCTGCGTTTCATCCGCCAACACGTAGAGCACATGTTCATTTAACATGATGTCTAGTGATCGCCCACCACCAATGGAGCATTTTTATTTTTTCTCGACGAACCAGTTGTCACTGCTTCAATCGCATATCATTATAACAATATAATAAAATCATGCATAATACTCAATACGAAGAGTGGAGCACTGATTTTAAAGCAAAATCTTCGATGTAATTGAGATATAATATTGGGCATCCATGTGATGAAGGACTTGGCCGGACCTTCAAAGGGTGCAGGAAATGCGCAGTTTTCGTATCGAATTCGTACCTAGTGGCTGAATTTTTTTTTCGGAAGGGTGAGGGGAGCAGGGCAGGAGAGCCCTTTCGAAAATAATTTGCGGGTGCACCAATTAATTCAAGATGATAGGCTACAAATACTGGTATTCTTTAACGTCAGACGAAACATGTGGAAATATGGGCTTTTATGGAATGCGGGCTTTTACACCTAGAAACTTATGCCCGAATGCAGAAACCACATAGAGGAGATAGCAGGGCCTTTTAATGAAGGAGCTTATTTTTTTTTTATCCAATAGGAATCCATGTATTCTTAAAGGACTTTAACTATCTATAGTTAACAGTCGGACCTTAACCTACTGGCGATACGTGTTGCACTGCCAAAGCACCAAACGAAAAAAAAAAACCACTTATTAAACAGGACTCGAAAACTGTAGCACGCGGTCACGAGAATCCTCCGAGACGCACGAGCAACTCGCACGGGTCGGAGGGAAGGTGATGGGGCGAAGAGGCCATGCACTCAGGCGATTGCGTGTGAATCCCTCGGCTGTCAATGCATTGCCCCGAGGGTTCATGGGGAGGGGGGGCCTTCATCGTGCCGAGGAAGTGGAAGACGGAGGCTGACGTGCGTCTAGACCAGTGATGGCGAACCTATGGCACGCGTGCCCAATGTGGCACGCGATGCGATATTGACAAACATAAAATAGATGTAATGTATAGCTGAAATAAACAAATCGGAGAACTCCTTTAACTTACAGGTATCTGAGCGGTGGGATATTAGCCTCTTAATTCTGGACTCGTAGCATCTGAGTGGATGGGGGCCATGGGGACTTGTCCAGGGCAGATACGAGTACAGGGGAAAAGTATTATACTACTTTTTAGAAGTGATTTTGCAAGGCAAACTTGATTGCTATCTCTGAAAAGTGGAGGAGAGTGGGTTTTCGAGGATTACTTTGCCTGCTTGTCTGCTCTGTAGAAAAGCCCCGCACCCTCTCTCCTCCCGCTGTTAGGATCATGTGCCCTGCTAAAACTTCCAAGACTCAACAAAATGTTTCAAGGTTTTGGAAAGACAATGGATATCATGTTTAATGACATTAAGACTTTCGGGGAAAAAAGCTTGAAATATACAAGAAGGATTTGAAAATAGAAACTTTAGTATTTTTCCAACTTAAAAAAAAATTTTGACAAGCTTTTTGAATTTGGTCATGTTAGTGATGTTTTTTAAACAACTTTCAGAAGTAACCGGACATCCACTAGAAATTTTCAAGAACAGGTTTCTTCAGTTTCGCACTATGAGGACCTTTCATCTTTCGGGCCTGGAGTGGTTGGGGCTTGAAAGTTTTGAAATTGAATTGGTAGAGCTCTGAGAAAGTAGTGCATGGAAGACGAAGTTTGCCGATCTAGGTGTGACACTCGAACAGATCGAATGAGAACGAAGTGAGGGGAAAAATGTGGCAAGTGCTAAAAAAGAAATTTTGACATCTTGAAATTCCCTTCGGTTCAACTTATTCTTGTTTTCAGTTGTTTTCTTCCACGAACTCTATTAAATCAGAACTACGCAATCGCCTAACAGATGACGTGAGTGCTACGTGTGTGGTTCTGAAAACGACCAAGTACCAAGGTTCGCCATCACTGGACTCGTAGCCACTCAAACTCCCCTCTCGACTCGGTTATAAACGCATTTTGGTTTTGCAAACGCCTTTCAGGCGACCCGGCACGGTCGGGAAGCGAGAGATATAAATCGAAAATCCAGTTTATGTCTTTTTCTATCGAGAAAAATAAATCGAAATGCGAAAATGCGAAAAGGGACTCTCCGATGGGATTCTCTTCCTATCGCGACTAAACAAATACCCGTTTCGATCTCCTTCTGGTGCATAAATCCAATCCTTCTTTTCCAACTTGAAGATGCATAAATTAAAAAAAGGTGGGAGGGGAGGTAATAGCTCAACGACGATTCGACTCATCGGCACAGGGCAACACGGGAAAAGGGAGGGAAGATACCCCCCTTCCATTCTTCCTCGGCCAGCAAAGCAAGGTCGGACGTTCCTCTAACTCCTGCTACCACGCCTATGAATCGTGTTAACTCGTTTCAAGGACTTCAAGAAGTTTCAAGAACGGAAAAAAAAGCATGTGATGCAGGTGTCTGAGATCGGAATGCAGATTCTCCCCGAGACGGCCGGAGTGTAACTTCGGCATAAATGCACGAGATCTCGTTTCCGAGCGGTTTCCGAGTGGAAGGAAGGAAATTTTGCCACGGGTCTCAGATGACAATGAGAAGTATCGTGGAAAGGCGAAGACACCCGTGGGGGCGGGGGTAGTCCCCGGGTCGGGTTTCGCCGGAACAGCTGGATCACCCCCGCAACCCCTTCGGTGGTCTGCGGGTGTGAGAAGAAAATCTCTCCACGGGCGATCGACGAACCGATTAACGATCCGTCGTCTCGGACGCGAACATCTTCCGGAAGGAGAGAAGAACCGGAATCCCCGTCAAGGTGAACCCTTTCCAGATGCGAACTAGGTCGTGAGGACGGGAAAGGCGGAATCAGTTTCGTCACGATGCAGGTGCCGTGGGTGCTTTTCTTCTCCGTCTCTCTCGCGTATCGACGGGTGTCGTATCAACCGCCGTTACGGACGTCCTACGTCCCCCGCCGAAGTTACGTGCGACCCATGTACCACTTCTACCGTCCGGTGTACCGACCCGTATACTACAGAATGGAGACGCCCACCACCACGACGACTGCAGCCACAAACAGTGAAGCTCCGGTCCTCTCGGTACCAGCTCTCTCCCCTCTTCCTCCTTCGACCGACGCGACGACGCCGTCCACCCCCACCGTCCTCCGCGGCGAAGCCCTGGTCCCCCCCTTACCAGACCTCCCTCCCCTTCACCCCTCCACCTCCACCTCCACCACCACCACCACCACCACGACCGAAGCCCCGATCGGAGTCCCGGAGGCAGACGTGAACGGCGTGAGCCCCTACTGCCGCTTCTCCCCCATGCACACTCTGTGTCACCATCGCGGGATCGGCTACAAGTGCGGGAGGCTCGTCTTACACGGCGTGACGAAGGAAGAGCAGAGTTTCATCGTGGAGGAACACAACCGCTTGAGGCGATGGGTCTCCAGCGGAAGAGAAACCAGAGGTTATCCCGGTCCTCAACCCATGGCCGCCAACATGTTAGAAATGGTACCGATTTTTAATTCATCCCTGGCACCAAAACGCGTGACGCGTCGGAATGACGCCACACGTCAGAAAGCGTCTAAGCAGACGTGGACATTCCGGAATAATGGGACTCGTGCGAGCTAATTAACTTCTCACGGTTATGACGGCTGTTTGGACAGGAAGAAAACGATGATGAGAACGAGATGAAACGGGAAGGTCGACCGGTTCCGTCAAAACGGGATTTATAACTCACACTTTCCTCCTCTTCCGTCTCGACAAAAAAAAAAGAAAAACACAGCTGAACGAATCGCATCGACAGAACAGGGACACGGACTACCAAATGACCACCTGAAAATAACAAGTCACTAAAAAATAAAGAAAGACGAATCGAGTCATACGAGATTCAGGAAAGAACAGACGTCGTAGCGACAGGCAGCTCTTAAGACATACGTAACCACACGAGTGACCATGAAGTCATCACAGATGAAAACACGTCCGCCATACCCGAGGGGATTTCCTCAAACGAATCGAACCTTCGGGCTCCGAACGGCTCATCGAAGTCTTAAGGAGAGATCCCATTGATGTCGACGCAATAACCATATCCTCGGTCTCGGTATTCTCGGTATTCATCGGTGAAAATCTTAAATTGTAATCGGGGTTATTATAACGTATTATAACCAGTCCGTATTTCCCTTATAAATTCTGCACGAATGCCCTTAAAGATCGAGCAAAGGTGACCACCCTCGTGGAAACTCCGAGAACTGAAATATTTTAAAATTCCAATCAGACGTGGGACGCGGAGCTGGCGATGGTGGCGCAGCGACACGCGGACCAGTGCGTGTTCGACCACGAGTGCCTTCAGTGCAGGCGAGTCGGTGAGTTGCTTTCGTGGAGTCTGGGGAGTGTCGGGGGGGTGTCGGGGGAATGTCGGGAGTGTCGGGGGAATGTCGGGAGTGTCGGGGGTGTCGAGGGGTGTCGGGGGGTGTCCCCTGTTCGATGGTTCGGTGTCTCACGTTTTATTTTTGCGCAGCTCGGTTCTACGTGGGGCAGAACCTCTACATCACGTGGGCGGAGAAGGCCGGGATGAAGGCGGACTGGAAGAGGGCCATCCAGGCCTTCTACGACGAGGTCCCGGGCTTCAGCCCGTACTGGATCCAACCCTTCCGGTTCTCGGAATCCCTGGGCCACTACACGCAGATGATGTGGGCCGAGACCCACCGGGTCGGCTGCGGCTTCATCATGTACCAGAACAAGGGCTACGACCAGAAGCTTTACACGTGCAACTACGGCCCCGCGGGCAACCGAGTCCGCAGCTCCATGTACACCGTGGGACCCCCGTGCAGCCAGTGCCCCGCTGGCGCCCGCTTCTGCAACGCCGGCCTCTGCTGCGGTCAGTGTCTCGATGCGTTCTTCGCTTCCTCGGACGCCGTTTCGGGATCGGCGTCCGGTTCGCCTATTTATTTCTCGCGTCGAGTCCCGTTCCCCGTCGGCCTGCAGGATTCATCGTTAATCTTGCCATGACTTAGAAAATACGGACTCGCATATTCCGGCCATTTTCACTCCATCCGTCTCGGAACCGCGGGAGTTCCGCAATTATCTCTCCCATCTCTACTTAGAATTTCTTTCCAGTTCCTTTTCGCATAGATTTCAACGACAGATAGATCTATTTCGTCGACGGACCGAAGATGCGACGTGAGCTTCAGAAGAACGTGGAAAACAATAACGGAAACGTTAGGGATAACGATAACGGAACGTCTACGTCTTCCGATGGATTCCGACCTCTCGGGCATTTTGCGATGCGATTCACGGGAATTTTCACAAAAGCTTCGCGAATAGTCGTCATCCGTCTCCTAAAATCTCATATTTTATTTTATTTCAAAATTTCATTTGTGGATTTTCACTCCGTTTACGTATCGAGTGGGAATCCTTTTTCCCCTCCACAGAACGGCTGGTGAACGTGACCAGCCACGACGGAGACGCGTCCTCGCCCACATCCGAAGAGGAAGACGACGACGACTCGGAGGAGGAGAAGTACCTGAAGGTACCTTTGGAGTTCCTGCCCCCCCGGAACGAGCCGGTCCCGGTGCTGGGGACGCTGAAGAAGCCCCTCGAGATCACCGGACCCTCAGGCTTCGGCGTCCTCTCGGGCAAGACCGAGCTTCACCCGAACGGGAGTCTTCACTTCCACCCCGACGAAGACCTCGCTTCGGAGGGATTCCTCACGGTGGTGAGCGTGGTGACGACGATCCGATCCGTGATCGGCGGGGTACCGGCTTCTCTCCCGTCGACGAAAGACGAGGACACCCAGCTCCTCCCGAGGGATTCCCCCGAGAAACGCGGAGAGGGATCCACGCCGGATCCGGTCGCGACCGCGACCGCGACGACGGTCGAGTCGAGCGATAAGGAAACGACGAGGATTTCCACCTCGACCTCTCGGACGCAGGCATTAATACCGTGGACGATCGAGGAGTCTCTCCCGACGACGATCGGACCGACGGAAACGACACCGGCAGCAGTAACAATTACGAGCGAGGCATCACCCGAGTCGAAAAGCGGAGGACGAGCGTTGGCAGAGAGGATCCAGACATCGCTAAACCTCTTGGAAGTCCCTCTAGAGAAAGAAATTCGGACCGCATCGGACGCGACGAAAGACACGGCGAGCCTCTCGACGCAGACGTCAACGGCGCCAGCGGTCCAGACCGAGGAGGAGAGTCTCCGACCCACGACGCCGGGATCTCCGACCCCAGGGACCGAAGCCCCATCCTCGTCTCCGAAGGACGAGAACGGGCGAGAGGAGTCGACGACCCTTTCCATTGGAGACGTCAAATTTGAACAGTTTGAGACCGAACGACTGCCCCCATTCGTAGAGGAGAGTGACCGAGAGACGAGTACCGTGTCTCAGGGAGAGACGATGTCCCATGGAGCTGAGACGGGGCGAGAGGAGACTAGAAGCACCTCCCTCGAAGGTGCGCATTTCCAAGAGATGGGAACCAAATCCCCATCCCTGTTCGAAAAGGACGAGAGCGGGCGAGAGGAGACGACGACCACGTCACTGGGAGACATCAAATTCGAACAGGTGGAGACCGAACGACCACCCCTATTCGTAGAGGTGAGTGACCAACCGCCCCCATTCGTAGAGGAGAGTGACCTAGAGACGAGTACCATGTCTTTGGGAGAGACGATGTCCCATGGAGCTGAGACGGGGCGAGAGGAGACTAGAAGCACCTCCCTCGAAGGTGCGCAATTCCACGAGATGGGAACCGAATCCCCGTCCCTGTTCGAAAAGGACGAGAGCGGGCGAGAGGAGACGACGACCATGTCACTGGGAGACATCAAATTCGAACAGGTGGAGACCGAACCACCATCCCCGTCTCCAATGAACGAGAATGGACGAGAGGAGACGACGACCCTTTCCATTGGAGACGTCAAATTTGAGGAAGTCGAGACCGAACAACCGTTCGTGAAGGATGGGAGTGGGCGCGAGGAGACAAAAACTTTCCCTGAAGGTGCGGGATTCCAAGATATGGGGAACGGACCCCCATCCCCATTAGTGAAGGACGAGAGCGGGCGAGAGGAGACGACGACGCCCGTGTCCCCGGGAGGCATCGAATTCGAACAGGTGGAGACCGAATCCCCATCCCCGTTCCCCCCCGACCCCGTCTCGTCACCGGATGAGAGTGGGAAAGAGGTGACGACAACCGTTTCCTCGGGAGACGTCAAATTCGAACAAGCGGAGACGGAAAAACTACCCCTAGTCCCGAAGGATGAGAGCGGACAAAGGGAGACGACGACCGCATCCCCGGTAGACGAAAAATTTCAGGAGACCGAACCACCCCCCTCCTTCCAAAAGGAGAGTGGGCGAGAGGAGACAAGAAGCGCCTCCCTCGAAGGAGCGGAATTCCGAGAGACGGAATCCCACCCACTGACTCTAAAGGATGAGAGCGGAAGAGAGGAGACGACGACCATGTCCCTGGGAGACGTCAAGTTTCAAGGATCTCTCGAGACGGCGACCCCCAGCGATCTCCACGAATCGGTTTCAACCGCTCGAGCGCAGCCGCCATCGACGCAAACGGCAACAGAAAGCTCGACTACGAGAACACGACCACCTACGTCCACGTCGACGGTAGAATCGACATCGCCGACCCAAACGGAAACGACGAATCCAGCGGTGCCGGACGAATCGACATCGCCGACCCAAACAGAAACGACGAATCCAGCGGTGCCGGACGAATCGACATCGCCGACCCAAACGGAAACGACGAATCCAGCGGTGCCGGACGAATCGACATCGCCGATCCAAACGGAAACGACGAATCCAGCGGTGCCGGACGAATCGACATCGCCGATCCAAACGGAAACGACGAATCCAGCGGTGCCGGACGAATCGGTCGCCAGAGACGAAACCCAGAATTCGGAGCAGACGACCGCCGAGTCGGCTACAACGAGCACCACTCTACCGGATTCCGAGGCGTCGGACTGGGTTCGAGTCGTCCATCTTCACGGCCCGACGGTAGAAACGTCGGCACCGACCGAAAGCGACGGAAACCACCCCAGAGCGACCACCACCACCACCGGAGCGACCACCACTACCACCGGAGCGACCACCACCACCGGAGCGACCACCACTACCACCGGAGCGACCACCACTACCACCGGAGCTCCCCCGATCCCACCCCCCGAACGCTTCCTAGAAACCCTCTCCGAGATGGGAAGCGCACGAATCTTGAAGGCCCTCCTACAGGTGCTGAGACGAAACGCAACCGTCCCAGAACCCCAACCTCAGACGAAGGAGGTCGTCGACCGAATCTGCTTCCCCCCCGTCCCCGGCTGTCCCTCCGTCCCCCGCTCCCGCATTCCCGTCTCCTTCGCCTTCCTCGGCTCGTCCTCCGCTCCCCACCAGAACTCCCGTTTCCACCCTTTCCTCTGAGATCCTGCACCCTCCTTGCTTCCCTAATATGTGATATTTCTTTTCGTTCGTCCTCGTACTCACATCTACAAGGTTTCAAATATTTTATAATACTATTTGAAGCGATTACCAGCGCTACGTGTATTTTTAAATAAAATGCGATCGTGTGATGCTTTTGACAAAAAATCGTGTCCATCCTTCGCTCATCGTTCACTCACAGTTCACTCACTATCCGACCTGCTCTGCTTCCGATCCTCTGATTCATGCCTCTCTTTCCTGTCTCTCTCCAGCCCTCGGAGGAAATATTAAGAGAGTATCCGGCGAAGGTGCTTCCAAATGGCTCTCATCAACTGAATCCGAAAAACCGATCGACAGAAACGACACGAAGAATGAGAACTTCGACTTTTTAAAGATTAAAAACGTATTTTAGGTTCCCCAATTGCCAATCGGTAAGGATGGTCCCCGAAGTGAAGGCAGAAAAGAAGCTTCCCCCTCCCCCCCTTGAGGTTCAAGGCTTTACAGAAAAGTTTCCTCGAGAGAATTCTTCGCCTTTAAACGTCGCGTTGACCTGCGAAGTGCGACGGTTTACGCCGATTCTTTTATAATATCAGGTCTTTGCAAAAGTATTTCGTATTGTAACTGCATTTTCGAAAGAGCGCAATTTTTTAATGAGCGACTTCTATTCAACGAAATGATCTCCATCATTGTCGACAACCTTCGTCCATCGTTGCGCAAGGTCAGAAATACCGGTTTTTATAAAAAGCAGAATCTTTCGAGTCGAAATACTGTTGCAGGTCATTTTCAACCTCCTTTTGGTCTTGGAATTGCTATTCCCTCGTGTAGTTTCCAAGAGATCGGAACAAGTGGTCGTCCGTGGGGAGATGTCGGGGGAGTATGCAGGGTGGGGTAGAACTTCTTCGACCCAGGCTGTCGATCTGCTGCAGCGTCTTTTTCGCTACACGAGGACGAGCGTTGTCGTGGAGCAACAGAACTTGCCTCCTTCTGACTGGAGATGGCTGCTTTCTGAGCAGGACTTGGTTGGCTCGTTGAAGTTGTTGGCAGTAGACATCGGCAGTGATCGTTCGACCCACCTTTAGGACCTCGAAATGCACCATTCCCGCCATCGTCCACCAGACACATAGAAGAAGTTTCTTTGGATGGAGGTCGGGTTTGGGCGTGGGGTGCGGGGGCTCGTTGGGGGATAACCACCGGTATGAACGTCTGATGTTATCGTAGAAGATCCACTTTTCATCACAGGTAAGGATGCAGTTCGAGAACGGGTCGCTTCGCTAGCGGGAAAGCAGTGAGGAACAGATTGTCAGACGCTGGAGCTTGTCATCGGTGAGGCACCCATCTCTCCAGCTTGCACACCTTGCCCGGAACATGCAGATGGCGATCAACGGTGGCTATAGTGGTGGCTATAACGGTGGCTATAACAGTTGAGGTTCTGCGCTAAAGCTGATAGCGTTTGGCGGGGGTCGCACTCAACGAGCGACAACAAAACATTGTCATCGATCACGGAAGGCCTTCCCGAGCATGGGTCCTCTTCGAGGCTCTCGTGTTCAGTGCGGGGCTTTGCAAAGTTGGGCTAGGCGAACATTACAGTGTGGTCACCGGATGCCTTGTTGATGCTCTCAGCCGCCTTCGTTGCGTTATGGCCCAGTTTGAACGCGTAATGCAAGCACTGTCGAATGGCAAGCAACATTGATGGCATCGTGAGGATCTCTTATTCACGAGGGTTTTTTTTAATCTAAAATGGAAATATTGACATATCCGTCGATAGAGAATTTCACGCTCTTTCTCTTGAATATACGACTGAGAAAATACAAGCCCCCTATGAAAAGTTATGGCCCTTCGAATGAAGGTAGGAAAAATACTAAAATACTTTTGCGAGCACCTGATAATAATCTTAAGAGCATAAAAGCTCGACAGCAACTCAAATCACGGAGGTTTCCGTTTGCCATAAAGGTTCCATTCATTCGTGTGGCTACGAAAATCCAAACGAAATCTGAAGAGGATTCGACGGGAACTTTAAGATAGAACCTGAAAGGGCGGAATCAACGATGTGTAACGCCTGTCTTATCGTCACGTTATTACGTTAATCTGGAACAGATCCGCTAACGTTACCATTACGGAACGTTAACCTTAAATTTTGTTCCAGAACATCATGTGGCTTTACTTTTTTTAAAAATCCTTCTCGTGATTAAATAAGAGCCCTCTTCCACGGACCTTGATTAGCGACAGTCTGACGTGCGATGCTACGGTGATGGGACCAACCACAGGTCCACGGAACTCCACAATCCGCATGAAGTGGGATTCGTCGTTCCGGCTCCAGTCTGCACTGGCCGGTTCCAAACAAGCCAGGAAGAAGTATATTCTCGTGAGCGTAATGGACGTCACATATTAAGCGATTGATTGTAACAGTAACGTTAATTAACGATACAGATTTCCTTATCATTGTTCTATCGACCGGAAACATCATCATCTCTCGCATCTGAGAGCACGCCTTGCGTTACGCCTCGGTCCTTGGCTCTCGTTTCGCGGATCCCCCATCGAAAGAGGCGGACTCCGACGAGCGGCCGGCTTTCGACGACGCCTCGACGAATCCATCGAAGACGTCGGGGCTCGTTGCGAAAATGTCGAATGCGTCCTCGGTGCAGCGCGCGACTTCGGCACGAGAAACGGACGCTTCGTGTCGTTCTCGAGATCTCGACTCGAGATCCGGAGTCGACCCGAGGAGAGCCTCTCCTCGCGTCGGGAAAGGACACGACCGTGAAAACCAGAGGAAAGCGAGTCCTCTAAGACAAAATCCCGATCGAAGTTGCGCAAGGCGGGAAGAAGCAATTCGCGATCCGGGGACGAAACCGAACGGGTTCCCCCCCGCTCACGGTCGCACTCCGACCTTCGCCCCGCCCGACCGGTCTCTCATTACTCCGAGGACCACGTCCGCTCGCACCTCCCGTCGCCGAGGCCACGAACCTCGCCGAGGCCCGGGGAAGCCTCATCGAGGTCCATCGCACTTAATTGCCCATTACGATTGCCCATTAGAGACGAGGGCCTCGTCTGCGTGGACAACTTTGTTTTTTTTTTTCAGCGAAATGTTTCTCGTCTCTTCGCCGCGGACTATTTATTTATTTATCATTTATTAGTTATTTATTTATTATTTATTAGTTATTTATTTTTTATTTATTATATTTATTATTTTTTTATTTCTTAAAAAAAGCACTTAATTGTCCTGTTGATGCCAGGTTTGAAAGCACAGCTTCTCGCAGTTTCAGAGAGTTCATGGACCTCACTCGCTAGCACTCGCTACGAGCTTGAAAGATTTCAAACTTCAGGCGAGTGCTCGCTAGTAAGGGGTGTTACACTAAGCGAGTGGCCCTAGTGGCCCTAGCGAGTACTCGCCAAGGGTAACAGGGCCTTTAAGCAATGATTTTTGTTCATGCAATGAACGATTCGGGTAACATTTCTCGTCTAGTTGTAACGCAAATTTTCAATCATTAAGGCAGAGTCTCCAACACTCTTCAGAACGAACACTCTTCAGAACGAACACTCTTCGAAAAGTGCGAATGGAATCTTTTACCCAGAAACAAAAGGACCATTGGGAATGCGTCGGCCATATTTATGTCGGAATTCGCCATATTTATGAAATGAAAAGAGTTTATGAGTTCGATCGAAGAGATTCGGTGCATGGCACCCTTGCGATGCGGCTCTTCGAGTTGGGGCGTGTGTCATTTTTTTTCTCGACTATTATTAATTATTAATATTATTGAAAAGATCTGGAATCGTAGCCCCGGAAGAAACCAATAGTAGAAACCGGCAGGTGCGACGGTCGAAATGCGAAATGAGTATCGCAGTCACAAACGCAGTCCGTTCCGTCGAAGCGCGAAACCCGAGTCTCCGGCAATATTCACGAGGGGCGAAAACTTCTCGGCCAAGGCCAGTACCACTCCCCTCGTTTTCCTTCGTCCGTCCCCAACTTTTCTTACGGCGATGCGAGTTTACTCTACGGTCACCCAGGAAGCTCGATCCGGGCGAGAGCCATCCGCGATCGAATGACGTCTTCGTAAAAATTCGGCTGCTCGCTTCTTTACCGTACTCAATGAATTTCGTAATCTTCAGCAGGCACGTATTATCTGCGGCGACGAGTCCCTTCCTTTGATGAGAATTCGATCACAGACCAGTGCTCAAATTGTGAAAATCCATGAAGTCGATCACGAGACGAGAAAAATCGTTGCTCGTGCATCGTAATTTATATAAGTTTCTAACCTCGCAGAGGAACGATGCGTTCGTGACACTGCGAGCCAAAAAAACGATGGCCTTTTAAAAACCGATGGTTTGAGGTAGTCGGACCCAGAACTTATTGGGCACCGGCTCGGGAAATTCTCCGAGGCTCCGAAACGAAAACCGTGCATGGAAGCGAAGAAGCGAAACGAAAAGAGAATCCCGGAGTCGTCTATGCGAGCCGTCTCGCTCGGAACCGGGACGGAAGAAAAACTGCCGATTCTCGACCGTTCGTTCCACGAGAAGCAGAACACGTGCGGGAGACGAGGAAACGACGCGAAGGCATTTCACTCGGAAACGACACGGTCTGTCGGTCCGCAAATTTCTTCGTTTTCCAAAATCGAATTTTTTTTCAAACAATGGTTGCTTTCCGCCACGAGACGAGGCAAGAGGGCATTGCGGAAAGTAAGAGCCAGTCGGAGCGGCAAGTCCATGTCCGAGTCGCGAGACGGAACTCGATTCGTAGAAGAAAATGTCAATGGAGTCGACTCGATCGATCGACGAGGTCGAAAGTTAGGCGCGGAACCGATCGGGTCGAGTTTCCCACTAAAAAACTGCTTCAGAAAGGAGTGGATGGGCTCGTTCGGGACTGTCATGGACGGTTCGTTCCTCTAGCACCATTCCTTATCAGTGTTTAATTTGTTTTTCTTCCGGAGCTCCCCCTCGGCACGGGACCCTGTGCCTGGCCCTCTACCCCCCTCCCCCTCCTCACATCCCCCCCTTCAGCTGGGCATTGGGCCTGGGCTCCGTGCCTTGATCTGGCGTTGGTTATAGGTAACGACATCTATCACGGACCGAATAGATACTGTCGCTAAATCTCTATTAGACCTCTATATGGAAGGTTCGAAAGAAGCAACAATGAACCATCCCTAAGCGTGAAGTTTTGGACGACCTCAGAGTCCGAGGCGGTGCAACCAAATTGCCGTGACAGCCACTGTAGAGGACCGTTCGAACCAGGAGAGTCGTCGTGGGTCGTGAGGAGTCATCGTGCCTTTCTCATGTCGATAGCCAGAACGGTCGAAAAATTAAAGACGACCTGTCTCTCCTGATGGGATTCGCGTCTTCGATTCGTAATACACACTCGATTAATTTACCGATCATACGGGTAAAACGAATTAGTCCGTAATTACTCGGGGCATCCCCTAAATCCTTCTTAAAGACGGGAACAACATGGTTCATTTCGTCTGGCTTCCATTCGTTTCGCTACATCTAACGCGTGACTGCACCCCGTATTCACTCAAACCACGAAATCCTTCTGAAAAACGAGCCTTCTTCTCGACGATCGATGCGGGGACGATTTCGTCCGATGGATTTCGAATCGCATCGAGAGAAAAAAAATGGGGAGAAAAACGTGGATGCGATCGTTCGGAGCGAAAAGCCCCAGAGGCGGAAAGAGCCGGGGTGAAATCGAGGGAAGTGAGGAATCTGTCAGGATCGTTTCCTGCCTGGGAAGCGCCATCCATCTTGACCTGGATGCCGAGACGGGATTCCCCATCTGTTCGTCTCCGTCACGTGTTCCCATGGTGCCACGCTGTCTGCCTCGCTCCGTTTATGTCTGTCCACCCCACCGAAAAATCCCTTCGCGTGTTTCGAATCTCCGGGCGGCAAGAGACGGCCACCGGAAGATCGAGCCGACGCACGAAATCGAGACGGTCGAAAGTTCATCCGAGCGAAGAAATCTGCATGGGAAAAAATAGCGAAAATTTTTTCATGCAACGAAAGCACGGCATGGAGGGTTGAGAGGTTATTCCCATCGTTTTTCTCTTAAGTGAATGCGTAAAGTAAACGAGAACATGAATTGCTCGATGAAAGCGGAACCTGGTTAAGTTTCAGGGGAACTTACGAGTCGGTTAAAGCTCCTGGACTATTTCCGTAACTTGAGTAAAGTGAGAAATTCCCCATTTCCATCACACGTGGGAGATCAGGGACCGAGAAAGCCCGAATGGTGACGAAGGCCCTACAAAAGGAAGGAAAACGGCGAATAGGCTCAAGGCAGTCGCCATCACGAACGATCGAAAATGTTTTTGTCGCTGATTGTTGGAAGGTGGGAAATGAGTTGGAAACCAGCATTGGTCTCCTCATCAGATCTACGAAAATACAGATCTGAAGCTTTGAAGTCCTGTCTCCAAATTCAAAACCAGCGAGAATCGCGCGCAACAAATGTTTAAGTATTTCTACTTACCTGCGAGCGCTGAGATTTGAGGTAGATGACGTGAAGGATGCTTGAAAATTTCCATGAAAATGACACAATCCTATCCGAGGCTTGAGGCAACCTCCCTCATTCTTCGGCTGTCCATAAACAGCTCTTGACTTTTCAGGAATTTTACCTGAAATTTGTAAAAAAAAAAAAAAAAATCTAAAATGCACCCATTATGTTGGCGCTTGCGTCCCCAAGTTCATAACGGAAAAAAATTGCACAAAATTTCGCAGAATCCTCATAACTTGCTTCGATGCTCCAGCGAGCACTTCCTGATTCATCATGTTAGAGGTCCCGGGCTCACATCAGCCTCAAGCTCTCAGCTGCTTATTTACGGGGGCATATCTGGCCAATGGAAGGAATCCTCGTGTTGATGTTTCGGGCTCGCCCTGGATGTTTTCTCTCACAACCGCGCCAGCCAATCATCATCAATCAAGTCCGTGACGTCACTGTTTGCATTCTAAACATCCACATGGGTATTAGAGAGGGGAGGGGAGAGAAGGGAAATATCCCGATGGTATCCTTCCCAAGCCATTTTTTCCTCTCTTCCTATTTTCCTCTCAGGGGTTATTCAAATATTCTTCTCCGAGGATTTGTTTTCGTGGCCTTGCCTTTCTTTCTCTGCCTTTTTTGAAACGATATGAAGGCAAGAGAGCGTGCTATTAGAGTGAAAAATTTGCAACTTTTCACCGGACAACGAATGGGGGTATTAAAAATTGAACATTTAATCTTTTTGCAAAGTAACATCCGATCCCCTAAACCGTGATTATTATATTCTTTCTTGAAACAATAAGAGTAGAAAGGACCCTCCAGACGAATTGGTGTATGCCTCTGGGTTTTAACCCAGGTTTGTGTCTAAGTCAATAAATATATATTTTTTCTTTATTTATCCATTTTGTTTCCTTTTGGAAGTGAAGAATGACCAGTGAGCAGGATTTTCGTATTTAGAAGCCCCCCTACGAATCCAACGAACGAATGAACCTCGAGCGATGCAACGGTGGAATTCCCGTAGACTCCCTCTCCCACCAATCCCGAGTCGGAATCGAAAAAAGGAGGCTCCCGATTGGCGGAGGCACGAACGCGATCCACCAATGGAGAGCTGCCTGTCATCCCCTCGGCGAGAAAACGCGGAATGCCTCCCGAGGTTCTCTCTAATCCTCGGCACAGTGTGAGGTTGTTTTCACTAATCCCAGGATCATGGACGAGTGGGACTTGTCGTATCAATTGTGGTTCCAGGCACGCAATGTGGGGTGTGCGATGGATTCGGGGACTTGTTACGAGGAGAGCCTCGTGGAACTTTCCCGATACCTCGGGATCAACGAGGATTCCACGTGGCACGATTCCGCGACGACGACGACGACGACGACCGTCTCGAGTCCGATCGAGAACCTGTCGAATTTCGTGATGCAGGATTCACCTCTCCAGCACCATGTGTCTAATAGTTCCGTGGCCAGTCCGTCTCCTTCCACCTCGTCCACTGAAGGTGAAATTATTACTCATATCTAGTCCCGCCGCGAAACACGGGTAAATTTACATGGCAAGTGGGGCGCCTCTTTTAGGACAATATATTTTCTGTGCGACGGTAATTCGGTAGGGAAGGCGTCGAGTCGAAATCTCGAACATCGGGTTGGGTAATCGTATTGATACAGCGATATAAAGCCTGCTGATGGACTCGTGGAAACCGTCGCTGAACGACAGGAAAGAGGGGGGGGGGGGACTTCGTTCCATTCCTATCTTCAATATCTTCATCACTCTCTCACAATTCTGATATTACGCATACGAGGAGTTTCCAAGACGTAAAAACCTCTTTTTGGGTCGAGATGGCGCTCGTTTTCCAAGGAAACTCATCACCATCACGACGACGGAATTCGTTCTAAACGATGATGGAGGTCGATGTCTTGACGTCACCAATTCCGGAATCGACGAATACTAACCATCATCGATCACACTCACCCCAGTCGGCACAGCCACGTTGTGTCAACGTTGAAAAGAAAAGGTTGAAATGTTGAGAATTGGTTAAAGTTGAGAATCCGACAAAGAATCGACATCAATTAAATTCTGGCTGACTATTCGTAATTAACAGTATTTGCAGCATATTGTGACTATCCGTGGATTAGCGAAGTCGTTTAGTAACTATTAAGCGCAAATTCGTTTTTCATCATATATGATCGTCGGATTCTCAGCTTTAACCAAGTCTCAACGTTGGCACAGCGTGGCTGTGCCGACTGGGACCGATTGCGACCACTGTGTGCACAAGGGATTCACGAACTTTTTCGTATTGTCGCGAAGGAGACAGGGCTCATTTTGCCGGCCCAATTCCAAAGAGGGAATTCACTTTCATATTCTGGCTCATTCAGAACAAGGTTTCGAACTGAAACGAAACTGAAAAAAAGTAACTGGAAAAGGAAGTGTAGCAAATATCAACGTCGAAAGCGAAACGAACGAAATTGAATCAAAATCACGACATTTCGTTTTTGAATTTTCTTGTTTCGCAGTTTTCACTTTTTTTTTTCAAGGTCTTCCTTTCATAAAAGTTCCTTTCTATTTAAAAAAAATGAATGAGCAACTTTCATTGAGACGTCCTTCCCAGGTCATCATTGGGAAACCGATTCGTGAACACCCACACATAACCACGGTCCCAATTTCCACGTTCTACAATTCGATAACGGCGCTTACGTAACAATGCGTGTGGAATCCGACAAAATCGGGTAACTGCAAGTCGCACTCCAGCATTCTTTTTGTTTTGCAATAGGGCAATTTATCAAGGAAAATGTCTAGTTTTCCCGGTTACAGCCAGTAACCGGAATAGAAAAACTAATTTCAGACTGTGAACCGGACGAAGATCTGGAACAAACGACAGCGAAAAGAACGAATGAGACCGGTGCCGAGCCTGATTTTATTACCTCCGAAGCCCCGATTCATAATTGGTCTATGGTGAAATTCAGTTTAAATTGCCTGCACGAGACGAAATAGGATTTTATGTTTCCTCGACTCGACTACGAAAGACGGGTTCGCATACAAATGAAACGTTTCCGAATGGAACAGGGTCCTGCTTCCAATTGGACACTCGGGAGATGAAGCCCCGGAAGGAGAGGACGGCCTTCACCAAGCACCAGATCCGAGAGCTGGAGAACGAATTCACCGTCTCCAACTACCTCACGCGGCTCCGTCGATACGAGATCGCCATCGCCCTCGACCTCACCGAAAGACAGGTGCTTTAAATCCGACCGAACTTGGAATCCCCAAATCCACTGCCTTTCTTTCGACGAACCGCTAAAGAATATAAATTTCAGTGGCGGCAGTTCATGATTTCAATTTGACCGATTTTCCTCCAAATTCTTCACTATTTTAATAAATTTTTTCTTCGGGTTTCAGGTGAAGGTGTGGTTCCAGAACCGTCGAATGAAGTGGAAGAGAACCAAAGGCAACGGAGGGAATCGAAAGTCCCGATCGGAGAAGCAAGTCTCGGATTGACCCACCTCCATCCTCTGTATTCTTGTGATAAATCCTAAAAATATATCGTGCGCCGTAGGATATCTAGTATTAAGGCCGTTTAAATTGAGGGTGACTGACACTAATAAAATCTCTTCTCAACTCACACAATAGCGTAAATTTATCTATACACCCCTGCGTAACGAGTACCTACGATATCCCAAGGGAACTCACTGAGTGTAAATTCACCCTCTTGAAAGCATGAATGGAACAAGGATCTGTTGAGAATGCGATGGAACCAGGCAGGTAAAAAGATACGAAAAGAGCGAAATCCACTGCCTGTCCCGGGAAAAGCATTCTCAGGCAGAACGGAGCAGTTCCTCAAACGAGCAAAACTCGTCCGCTCGCCGTTTGTGGGACCGGGAGAATCGATGCTAGTCATCTGAAATTTGACGGATCAGAAATCGCCTCCACCCCTTAAAAAAACTGAGTTTAAGGAAAATAACCTTTCGTCCTCGGGGAACTTTCACGACCGATTTCTAGAGGCGAAGATCAACTGAATATGCAGCGTCGGGCTGCTTATTCAGGTGGTCTTCATATTCCCGACGCTGCAGATGTAGGCAACAGGGTAAAAGGATTCACGGGCAAGGAACGTGTTCATGTTTCTCACTATTTCATCGGGGAAGATCCTCGGCTTTAATCCCCTCCAAAGGCGTTAGTGAGGGGACACCAATTACTTCTCTTTTTTTTCCTTTAAGGAAATCTCTCATAAGGGATGATTCTAGTTTTTTCTTTTCTTCGCGATCACCATGATAAACTACGAAATAAATGCAAATAAATCTCAATCGAGAATGACAATTTAGTCGTTATGTCAGGAAATGTGAGACTAACGTATTCATCAGAACCCAAGGAGTTTCCCCCACACGACTGTAAAACGCCTCGATTCTCACGCTAAAAAGAAGCTAGACGAAAGGCGGAAACTCAACCCGCTACCCCCCCCCCCCCCCAAGACGGGACGAGACAGCCTGGCGCCTCGCACGACCACCGTCTTTCCCCCTCAGCCGCTCCGGATGAGATGTCAGCGGGTGTCCATCTCTCCCCCCGGAACGACCTGCTAAATGCTCCTTCCTCCTTCCTTCCTTCGTCGCCATAAAAGAAAAGATCACATTGCCTCTCTTCCGTGCAGCTGCACGGCAGCGTGCGTGCGTGCGTGCGTGTGTCTGCCCACATGTTCCGCCGTCCGACTCCATCAAACGAATAATAACTCATTCCGTAAATAGCAAGCGGGGTTTCCCCCGGTCGCTGGTGAAAGCGTGCATCAAAGAACGCTAAATGAATTCCCACTCGCACAAGAGAAATCGTAAATCATGATTCTTGGCGGTGGATCGGAACGCATTCGGCATCGAAAATAAAATCATTCCTATTTAGAGAGGCAACACATTTCGTGGTGATCCCACTGAAATAGACCGGAGGCAACGGCGACGACGCCGACAGCATAGACTTTTAGACGCTTTTTGCCGATTGCTAGATCAGATCCCGCTGAGTCCCGCCTATAGTACGAATGTCGACGAAGTATCCAATTTTCGTCTTCCAAGGAAATGATTGGATTTCGCGAATCCCAGTTCTACAAGGAGGTGTACCGAAAGTCATGTCAGTGATATTATTTCTCTGCAACACTACATCACAAGAACGAAATCTTTGTCTCAAAGAGTAGACTCATGCTTTACTTATTCGTTGCTAGATTGTAATTCACCGTGCGATTACTTTGGGCATTGCTATCGACTTAAAATGGCAGACGCAAACTGATATGAATGAAAACCAGGGCTGTACCGATAGCCACATTTGGCTGATTATGATCTCATACTATCTGCACCTATCGTGACGGGTAAAGAAACAGCAAAGCACCATCTTCCCAAATTAATATTTAAAAATTTCAGATAGACCTATTAGGAAGCCACGTTAATTTTCTTTAGGGCTCTCACGCTGTTCCAAAACATCCATGTATCGACCTGAAATATTGATAGAGCATTGATGCACCCGGGAGGCCAGGGGGAGGAGGGGGGTGGAGGGGTGGGGCGACGTCGGGGGATAGTCTTTTCTCATCTCGATCGGAGCAAGGACAGAGATCCGTCTTACATAATCTCTTGCCTGTGATCGGGGAATGCTGGGGGGGGGAAGTAGAGAGTAGGTGTGACCTTCGCGACGGGTAATAAAGCCTACCATGCCTCCAACAATGAAATGACATCCATTCATCGCTGGGGCAGTCATTATTTTCAATTGCCGTTAAGAATCAGTTACCAGGCCTCATTCACGTGTTTTTTTTTTCTTCTTTTTCTTCGTTCTGCACGTTCTTCTGTGGACATCGGCACCGGGGGCTTGCAAACCTGCCGATGGCCGAAAACGCCGATACATCGGTCGAGCTCTAGTAAAAACAAAGGGCTTTCACAATGGGCTGTGATTCAAGTTAGGATGAAACACGTACACGAGTTTCGGTGCAAGAACGAAAGAAATGTTTTCCGTTGGGTTAAGCGCAATCGGGACGGTGAAACGCTTCCATGCGATCGACTCCATTCGGGACATCCTGCCGCTCTCGTTGCGCCGAATGCGATCGCAAAAAGCGGAGGACGCGAACCAGAGAGACAGGAATGAGTTGGACCGTGATGAGACTGGGTTGGACTGTGTTGGACTGACCGAAATCGACTCCATTCCGCGTGTGTGCGTGGTGGAAGGCGCGTGGTCGATGCAGGGGTCCCGAATGGGAGGCATCACTTCACCGTCTTGCAGGCGATTCACGCGAGGCGGGACGTTCTTTTCATTTCACCGTTTCTGAGGCACATTTTTCATCAGAACGGAAATGTGTCGGGTGATTTGGCCCTTTCAGAGCAAAAATTCAATCGCGGACCGTCGTTTTCGCACATTTTCGTCGGGCTTTCAACATATTATTGATAAATTGGTAGCAGCGCGCATCCTCACCACATCCGTGAATCACTTCCGTCTTATCAGTGAAACATGTGACTACGTTTTCAGTTTTCTTTTCTGTCATGTGTGATCGCGGAAGAAAAATATCGCCGACCGGTACATCCCTTGCATTCTGCTACATTCTTTTGCATTTCCTGACACGTATAGGTTGCAAATTTGAAGGGAAAAAATCAGCGATTAAGCAGGTAGACAGGCTAAGAGATGCTCCCAGGTAAATTATTTGAAGTATATAAGTAAATGAACATGCAGTTTAAGAATTAGGCTAAATTTCACCAAAGTTCACCGAAGTTCGGTCGAGGTCGGTTCAATACATTCCCACGCTTTGTCCTGCTACGAGTCCCGTCTCTCTTGACGACCTCATGATAAGGCTCGGCCTCGTTTGCCTTGTCCTCGTCGCCTGACCGACTCTCGGGCACAGCTACGATGCTGAGTGTAAGAAGTTCGTCACTGTTTTCCTCCATGCCACCGATCGATGTCCTTGAATTCGGATTCCAAGGGACTCCGAGGGTGGCTGAGAGACGTCGCGGAAAACCGGATCCTAAGAGAATATTCCACAAGAATCACGAAGCGACGTCGGCAAAGGCAAGATTCCGCGCTTGCATTTTGCGAGCGTCGGACCCAACCGTAAATCCATCAGGAAATCCACGTGTCGAGCCTCGCATCTTTTTCGCAAATTTTTTCTACCTATCCGAGGCAACGAAAGACCGTTACTTGAAAGGCACCTGTGGATGACGTCACCCACTTTTCGCGAAATTCCCTCCGAAAGCCTTTCGAGACGAGGATTCGGAAGCTGCGTCGTCTGCGGACCTCTATCGACGGGAAGAGACCCCACCGTTTACGCCGCCTTCAGACAGAGAGCGCTCTCGCCTTTATTTTAAAATAAAGAAATCGGACCTCGACGGTCGAAGAAATGAATACGTGCTTTCTCTCGGATCGATCGAGACGGTTATCGTCGGACGGTGACCGAGGGAAACCGATTAAAATAGCAGGTATTTGTCGGTCATTCGTTGGCGCGTGGCTGGTGGTTTCTGCCCGGTAAATCGGTGTCATTTGATCCCCTGCTTCGGCTGTGTCTATTCCTCTTTCCGTTTCACGGATCGACGGTTCAGGAATTCGTTTCTGCTTTCGATTCCGGCATCAGTCGATTCTCGATTTTTCTTGCTTTTTTTTCTTGCATGACTCCACGCCGGCCCGAGTCATGGTCACGACCGAAATTCGAAGAAAAAAGTGAAATAAAAATAACATACCCGACTCCAAAACGGGATCTTTTTTTTTCATCCCGCCATCGAGAAACTCCATGTTCTGACGTTGACCCTCGAACGACTGACCTTTATCGGGACCTGATTCCTGGAGACTTCGCTTTTCGAGGTCAACTCCCATTTCAGACCTCGGCGAACCATTTCAGACCATCTCTTCTGTGACGGCCGAAAGGATCATCCAGCAGCCATTCCCGCTTCTCTTTTTCTTCTTCCGTCTCGATCGATGTTCCGACCCGGCGACGAACCCCGCAGAGGAATTTTAACGGAGGAAAAAATTGCGAAAAGATTCGTCCCCGCCGATCGCACGGTGTTCGCCGTTCGGAGAACGGACGAGTCGGGATATTTTTCCAAGCGATCGACTCGACTTTCGATCGACCTCCGGGGAAATTAACATTCCGCAATCCCGGATTCTATTGCAGGGAATCGCTCCGTCACCGTATTATCAAACACGCATTTTAAATTTTTCAGGAGGTTTCTTTACTGCACTTGCCCCCCTTCCCCCTCACTCACTCCCCCCCCCCCCCCCCCCCCCCCCCCCC